TGATATCTTTTCTTCTGCTTGATTGATTCGGCTGTTAAAACTTGTGCATAGTTCATGAAGTTCTTGTGTTGTGTTTTTCAGCTCCATTAATTCACTTATATTCCTCTCTAAATTGTGTATTCTTGTTAACATTTCATCAAACCTTTTTTCAAAGTTCTTAGTTTCTTTGCATTGGGTTAGAACAAGTTCTTTTAATTCACAGAAGTTTCTTATCATCCACCTTTTGAAGCCTGCTTCTGTTAATGGAACACGCTCGTTCTCCATCAGGCCTTGCTCCATTGCTGATGAGGAACTGTGATCCCCTGCAGAGGGAGAGGCGTTCTGATTTTGGGTATTCTCAGCCTTTTTAGGCTGTTTTCTTCCCTTCTTTATAGATTTTTCCACCTGTGGTCTTTATAATTACCATCTTTATAATTGGGTTTCTGAGTGGACGTCCAACTTGTTGATTCCCAGTGCTAAAATCTGAGCAACCCACTGCGCCGGCCAAAACAGCAGTGTTATGATTGATGGTGGTTTTCTGACTCTGCACCAAGAACCGCCACACCAAGGCAGCAGCAAAACTGCCTCGCTGGCCACAACAGTTGCACTGGCGACCCGTGGGGCTCCTCCACTGGGAATCTCCTGGTGCGTGAGCAACAAAAATTTGTCTGAAAGTGTGGCGTCCTCTCATTCTCTGTGCTTTCACTGGGAGCTACAATCCTGAGATGCTAATGATCAGCCATCTTGGATCTCTCTCCCCTTCCTGCAGTTTCTATGAGTCGGTCAGGCTGGTCTTGAACTCCTGACCTCGGGTGATCCACCTACCTCAGCATCCCAAAGTACAGGGATTATAGGCATGAGCTACTGCACCCAGCCGACCCTTTTATCTTTATGTAGGTTACCCTCCTTGTTGTTTTTAGTCTTTGACTTGTAGTCTATTTATCTGTTATAAATATAGCTGTATTCCCCCTCTTCTTTTGTTTCCAGTTGCATGGAATATCTTTTCCACTCCTTCATTTTCAGTCTCTATGTGTCTTTATAGGCGAGATGGATTTCTTGAGGGCAGCATATAGTTGGGTCTTGTTTCTTTATCCATTCAGCTACTTGGTGACTTTTTAAATTATTTATTTATTTATTTAGAGATGGAGTCTTGCCCTATCACCCAGGCTGGAGCACAGTGGCATGATCTTGGCTCACTGCAACCTCCACCTCCTGAGTTCAACCAATTCTTCTGCCTCAATCTCCCGAGTAGCTGGGACTACAGGCATGAGCCACCATGCCCAGCTAATTTTTGTATTTTTAATACAGATGGGGTTTCACCATATTGGCCAGGCTGGTCTCGAACTCCTGACCTTTTGAGTCACCCACCTCAGCCTCCCAAAGTGCTGGGATTACAGGCATGAGCCACCGTGCCCTGTATTTATTTATTTTTATTTTTTTGAGATGGAGTCTCGCTCTGTCACCCAGGCTGGAGTGCAATGGCTCAGTCTCAGCTCACTGTAACCTCTGCCTCCCAGGTTCAAGTGATTCTCCAGCCTCAGCTTCCTGAGTAACTGGGATTACAGGCACACACCACCATGCCCAGCTAATATTTTTGTATTTTTAGTAGAGACAGAGTTTCACTATGTTGGCTAGGCTGGTCTGAAACTCCGGACCTCAGGTGATCCACCTGCCTTGGCCTCCCAAAGTGTTGGGATTACAGGCGTGAGCCACTGTACCCAGCTGAATCTTTAATGCTAGATTACTGCCTCCTTTTGGGCTCTAGGTGGCACCTTAAGTCCAGGTTCAACTTCGCTCTAGTAAATGGTCAGAGCACTGCCTGTCCCAAATAGGGGAGGTATCAAAGGGATTATCCTGGGAAGGCTGTCATGAATTGGGGTCCATGCCCAGGAGACCTGGAGGACATACTTCCTACAGCCACTCTTATGTCTCCTTTGGCTGAGTTACAGAGCAGAGTCCCACCTCCTCTGTTTCAGGGATATTTCAGGGATATGCCTGTCTTCAGGGATATGCCTGTTTTCAGGAAGTTGTGATACTACCCATGGGTTAAGCCAAGGACAGGTTTCTGGCTAGGGAACCCAAGAAGGTGGGGAATCTGTTTGACTACCTCAATTTTACTTTTTCCAGTGTAGAAACCATAAGTTGAGAGAGATTTTCCAAGCAGTGGTTGCTTGGCAAAATGGAGGGAAGGGTATTACAGATGTGGAAGTTCTATTCTCCTACCATCTGCTCAGAGTGTTTCCACTTCTCTGTGACCTCAGGAATGGACTCATCCTCATGCTGGAGCTCTGCATTATTGCTGGTGGCGACCTCACTGCTGTATATTTCTTTGTCTCTTTTTGTTGCGGGGAGAGAAGCCAGCTTGCCTTTACGCCACCATTTTGGAAGACGAAACTCCTTAAGATTCTAAGTATAAAAACAATTTTGGTTATTTATTCTAATAGGTATCAAGATGTTAGAAGTTGGTACCTTTGATACATATGGAATATTGAGTTTCATGTGCTATAGCTCTGACCCATGTGACCTTTTTTACCTCGATTCAAGGGTAAAAATACGGATTTCAAAGCTATTGGTCCCAGAACATACTTCATTAAGTTATAACTCAGCACTTGTAACACTATAATATTTATTTACAAAGTGTCTGTCCTTCTCTACTAGACCAAAGGCTTCTGAAAACAGAGACTATCTTTGTATTCCTAGGACCTAGGCCATTTCCTGGAATTGATAAGTATTTGTTGAATGAATAAGTAAAAGAATGAATGACTAGACAATTGAAAACAATTGTAGCTCAAGGAAAAACATAAATTACTAGATATCAAGCCACATAATTTGGCAGTTCTATTTTGACAAAATTGGCAAAAAACAAAACACCAAAAAACCCTCACATAGCTTGGAAATAATCACCTCACAGAGAACAAACAAGATGTAGGTCTTATAGCAACAGTGATCAACAAGCAGGATCTACTGTTACGTGTCTTGGGAAGAAGCATCTAGTAGGTGATATAAACCAGAGAAGAAAGTAACCAGCCTCCATCTTGGTTTCAGAATATGATTCTGTTCACTGAAGTCCCTGTTGCTGACTTGCTTACGAGGCAGACGATGGATCTGGTCTGAACCTTTACTATTTTCTGCATCTGTCTGCATTTGGCCACTTGTTTGCTTGGACTTTTGGAACATAATTGCTTTTCTTTCACTCAGATGCTCTCTTTAGGCTTGACTCTTTGCCATAGTAAACTTTGCTTTATTTCACTGAGCCTCAGATTTGCTTATCTTTCAGATGGGGCTAGAATCATACATGGCAAACAGGGCTGTTGAGAATGAGGCACACCTGTCAAAACTCTGAATATTTATTCAATCTCAAATATTTATGGAGTTCTTGTCCATAGATACAGTGATATATGAGATAAAATCCTTGCCCTCCAGGATCTCACTGCTGAGTTAATGAGATAGAGAAAAACAGGGGCAGTGACAATATGGTGTATTAAGGAAAAAGCTGTGAGGCATACATACATATGGAGATCACATAGGAGGAGATAATTTGCTAATATCTGGCCCAGTGAAGAGCAAAGCTGATCAAGAGCAGTCTCAGGGTCTGCTATCCTGGTGTGTAGCCAAAAGCCTCTTTGCCACAGCCTACCATGAGGCCAAGAGTAGGGCTACAGCTATATAATGACAACGGGAAGAGACGGCACAGCAGCCGTAGCAACCCGAACTTCACATTAAAGGCCTAATAGGAAGCACACATCTTACCTCTCCTCTGCGAATATGAATGCTCCTTATAATTCGCTCTAAGAAGCCAATCTGCTGTGTGAGACGAAGACTATTTTCACGTAATTGCTTATTTTCTTTATCCATGTAAAGTACCCTAAGAATGGCATAAATCAATGGCATGATTAGAAATTTTTGTGTCATTACTAAAAACCCAAAATTCCTAGATCTTAGACCACTGTCCCTTAGACCACCATTTTAGAAGCAAGTTTGCCAGAATAATTCCCACCATATTCCAAGACCAAGTGTGATGGTTAATACTGAGTGTCAACCTGATTGGATTGAGTGATACAAAGTATTATCCTGGGTGTGTCTGTGTGGGTGTTGCCAAAGAGATTAACACCTGAGTCAGTGGTCTGGGGAAGGCAGACCCACCCTTAATCTGGTGGGCATGATCTGATTAGCTTCCAGCGAATATAAAGCAGGCAGAAAAACGTGGAAAAGAGAGACGGGCCTAGTCTCCTCCCAGTTTACATCTTTCTCCGGTGCTGGATGCTTCCTGCCCTCGAACATAGGACTTCAAGTTCTTCAGTTTTTGGGACTCAGACTGGCTCTCCTTGCTCGTCAGCTTGCAGACAGCCTATTGTGGACCTTGTGCTCGTGTAAGTTAATACTTAATAAACTCTCCTTTATATATATACTCCCCTTTACTTATATATCTATATAGGAGAGTTTATTGTGTATATATACATACATACATATATATATATACATGCACACACACATATATATACACATATATATATATCTCCTATTGGTTCTGTCCCTCTAAGAGAACTCTGACCAATACACCAAGTAAAAGTTAATAAGCTTTTGGGCTGTACATGGTTATTAAATACAGGTACAAGAGTATTAAAGGCATAATTCTACTCCTTGAAAAATGTAAGGGAGGATATGATCCCATTTAGGGGTGGGAATGAAACAAGAGAGACTCAGTATCCCTTCAAATATTGTAGCTACATAGCTTGTATCTGGTTCCCTTCTCATACTGATCTGATTCTGATTTCTTGTGAAGTAGAAATAGCAGCAGCAGCAGAAGCAGCAACCATGTTTCAAGTCCTTGCTGTGTATTTATGCAATATAACCTACCCACACCATAAGCCCTTAAAACTTTTCATGTATTAGCTCATTTAATATGCTAGCAACCTGATGAAATATACATTGTTGTGACAAATTTGAGCCTCAGTTTCCTTAGCCATAAAATGAGGAAATATTCCTTGGAAGAAACTTACTCTAAGGAAAACATTCAAGTCCAATCCAGGTGACTGTGTCATCAGTAGGGCAAGACAGAAAGATTATTAACATTAACGCAAAGGTAATGAGTTAATTGTGTTGGCTCCTGACTGTCAGAAGCTATGACAGTTTGAGAAGAGCAATCAATGATTTATACGGGACATCTAAAAGGGGAGACAGAGAGAGTAAAAGATCCTCAGAGATTCTCCAAGCCTGCCCAGAGGAGTGTGCCCAAAGCAGTGGACAACAACATTCCAGTCTGCTTGGCAGACTCTCCCCAGGCTATGGTGCTATGGTCTAGGCCAGGCTGCTGAGGTCCACATGCTGCTCTGTCACTGACTGGGCTGGGTGAGTTCTCTCACCTCTCTAGACCTTGGCTTCCTATCCATAAAATAAGGCTAATAGTGCCTCTGTCCTGGGATTGGTATCAGGATTAAATGAATGGAAGAGCTTAGAACAGTACCTAGCATATAGTAATTGCTCAGACAAATCTTATTCCAATTATTGGTAACATTATCTGTTAACATCAACCCACTCTCTTTGATTATAATTAAATAAAGTCTCCTATGAAAAAGAGAATGCTCAGGCTGGCTGACATGGCTTATTTTCTGCTTATAATATTTCTCATTAAAAATTAACCCACTGGTATCCTGTGGATTTCATGAATTTAAGTGACTTCTGTGAGATTCTCTCTTGTTCGAGCTTGATTCCACTGGTATCAAAGAATAAAAATGTAGGCCAACACACACAAAGTGACAGGTCAGAATGCACACAGCCAAGTTCTCAGTGAGGCAACGACATTACGAAACAGCCTATCTAAATAGCCAACCAGCCTCGTCCATGATATTCTTCTCTATAATTTAACAATTTCTGCCACTGGTATGATCTGCTGAAAACAGCAGACAGCAGAGAGCGAGTTATAGGGTAGGCTACAAACTCAAAGGACGGTCTATAGAACCATCTCTTTGTTGAGGGAGAAACATCCTCTTGTGGAGTTTATTGGCTCCCAGGCAGGATGGCACCTACCTGCTTTGGATTGAAGATATCGTCCATTTGTTGCTGTGGATCAAACGTTCTTGCTCTATGACTTGCTCCAGAAGTTTCCTTTTTTCTAAAATCAGGGTATCATTTTGGGCAGTGATCTGGTTCTGTATTGCCTTCTCCTAGGGATTAGAAAGTCTCCTAATTACTACAGCAGGAGAAAGAATTATAAATTTAAGAGCATCAGCCGGTTTCTAAATCTAGAAGATATTTTCCTTTATTTAATTTTTTTTCCTGTCCCCTAGTCTTTTTCTACCTGTTTGCTGACATTGTCATTCATTGTAGCTAGTTTGTCAATTTTCGAGAGGTTATTTTATGTCATGTATTTTTTTTTTCTTTTTCATGACCCTGAAAGTAGTGAGATTATGCTTTTTGTTTGTTTGTTTTTGTTTTTTGACATGGAGTCTTGCTTTGTCACCCAGGCTGGAGTACAGTGGCGGAATCTCAGCTCACTGCAACATCTGCTTCCAGGTTCAGCCTCAGCTTCCTGAGTAGCTGGGGTTACAGGCATCCACTACCACACCCAGCTAATTTTTGTATTTTTAATAGAGACAGGGTTTCACTATGTTGGCCAGGGTGGTCTTGAACTCCCAACCTCAAGTGATCCGCCTGCCTCAGCCTCCCAAAGTGTTGGGATTACAGGTGTGAGCCACTGCGCCCAGCCAGTGAGACTATTCTTGCAGTGATAATGCTGAAATGATTTCTAGCCTGATACCATATTTTATTTTTTACCAATGATTTTCCCCCAAAGCAATAGCTACTGAGGGTACAGCTAAAATGATAAAGGAGTGCATTTTGTGAAAAACCACTAATACTCTTATATATAGAGTCAGTAGATATTAATAAATATTACCTTTGGTGAGGGGTTTAGAGCTCAAAGGTGTAGAATTGCCAGTTCCACTCACTAAGGACCTGTCAATGGTAACAGGCAAGTGCCTACACTTTTGTGTTTGTTCGTCACCCGACAGTAGTGAGGAACAATCTCTGGCAGACTGGAGAAAGTCAGCGTTACATATTTCTCTCTCTCTTTTTCTTTTTTTTTTTTGAGACAGAGTCTCGCTCTGTCACGTAGGCTGGAGTGCAGTGGCACAATCTCGGCTCACTACAATCTCTGCCTCCTGGGTTCAAGACATTCTCCCGCCTCAGCCTCCTGAGCAGCTGGGATTTGGGCGCCCGCCACAACAACTGGCTAATTTTTATACTTTTAGTAGAGACAGAATTTCGCCATGTTGGCCAGGCTGGTCTCAAACTCCTGATCACAAGTGATCTGACCACCTCAGCCTCCCAAAGTGTTGGGATTACAGGCATGAGCCACTGTGCCCGGCTGTTTTTTTTTTTTTTTTTCGGGTAGAATCTAGCTCTGTCATCCAGACTGGAGCACAGTGGTACGGTCATGGCTCACTGTAACCTCATACTCCTGGGCTCAAGTGATCATGTGCTTCAGCCTCCTGAGTACCTAGGACTACATGTATGAACTACCACACCTGGCTAATTTTTAAATTTTTTGTAGGGTCAGAGGCCAAGTGCCGTGGCTCACACCTGGCACTTGGGAGGCCAAAGTGGGAGGACTGCTTGAGCTCAGGAGTTTGAGAGCAGCCTGATTAACATGGTGAGACTCCATCTTCACACACACACACACACAAACCAAGTGTAGAGTTCAAGACTGCAGTGAGCTAGGATCCCACCACTACACTCTAGCATGGGTGACAGAATGAGACTCTGTCTCAAAAAAGTTTCTTTAAAATAAAAAATAAAATAAAATAGTAGAGACAGAGTCTTGCTCTGTTGCTCAGGCTGGTCTTGAACTCCTGGCCTCAAAATATACTCCTGCTTCAGCCTCCCAAAGGATTGGGATTACAGGCATGAGACACTGTGCCCAGCCTACATGTTTCTTTTAAATAAGATACTAATGTAGGTCATTCAGAAAAGACTGGTAATCTATTATTATTATTATTATTATTATTTTAGACAGAGTTCTATTCTTTCACCCAGGCTGGAGTGCAGTGGCACAATCTTGGCTCACTGCAACCTCTGACCCCTGGGTTCAAACAATTCTCCTGCCTCAGCCTCCTGAATAGCTGAGATTATAGGTGCCTGCCACCATGCCCAGCTTATTTTTGTAATTTTTAGTAGAGATGGGGTTTCGCCATGCTGGCCAGGCTGGTCTCGAACTCCCGACCTCGGGTGATCCACCTGCCTCAGCCTCCCAAAGTGCTAGGATTATAGGCATAAGCCACCTTGCCTGGCTGGCCATCTATTATTAAAGACCTATAGGATGTAGATCAGATTGTGTTATGAAAAAAACTATTCCAGACTTTAGAGTCCTTCTCCAAGACCCTGCCATATCTAATGGTAGTCTCATCTGCTATAATTTAAAGACATTTAATTAATAATGTATTGGTAAGGATTGAGAAATGGAAGCAATCATCCCACAGATAAACCCTAGACAGATATAACTGGATTAAAAAGTGCACTGCATGAGGAAAGCAACTGACACCTTGTCCTTGGGAAATACTGTATTTTTTAAAACAAGCAAAAATTCCAGACACATGTTATGATAATAGGATAAAATGGGAAAGTCTAGTTAGAGTGGTCACAACAGAAGGCTCGACTGGCTCTTTATATAAAGAAAAAGCTGAAGTAATGAAGCCAAAAGAAGTGGCATTACTTTTTGAAGACTCAGAAAGTAAACTTGGCATGTTTATTCTCAGTGCTCTGGTCCTTGGGCCCTAAAATACATAAAATAAGAATCCCTAGGTTTGTTCTGCTTTGGCATTAAGAGCTCTCACATCAGTCTTCTCTGGGCTAAGTGGTTCTAATTCTGTTAACAATTTCTCATGTGAACTATCAATCCACCAATTAACATGCTTCTTAGGCCCTTCTAAGAGATTACATACCAAAAAAGGGAAAATAACATCTGTGAAAAATTTACATGCGCCAGGTACCACTTTAGAAATTTTATGTTTTAATACTCACAAAAACCTTGTGCATGGAAGGTGGGGACTATTTCCTTCATTTTACAGATGAGGAAAGTGATACCCAGAGACTTGTTCAAGGTCACAGGCAGGGCTAGAATTTGAATCCAAGTCTATCTAAGGCCAAAGCCCACAGTACCCTTCAATGGCAGTGAGCAAAAGGTCCAATTACTCTGTCAGCCTCTGCTTATTTGGGATCTCCAGCATATTTTATGAAGACTTGTGGTTCTTTGGGTAGATGCATTAGTTTTCTGCCCATTTTCTCATAGTTTTGAGTGCTAGGAATCTGAAATCACATTGTTGTCAGGGTTAATTACTTATGAGGGCTACAAGAGAGACCGTGCTGCATGCCTTTCTCCTAGCTTCTAGTGGTTGCCAGCAACCCTTGCTATTTCTCGGCTTGTAGCTGTATCATTCCAGTCTGTGACTTCATCACCAGGAAGCATTCTTCCCCTGTCTGTGTCTGTATGTTTTTCCCTCTTCCTATAAGGATAGCAATCATCTTAGATTTATGATTCATCCTAATTCAGGATAATGTCATCTTAACTAATTATATCTGCAAAGACCCTATTTCTATAAAAGGTCACATTCTAAGGTTCTAGGACATGAATTTGAGGGAACACTATTCAACCCAGTGTAGTCAGGAAGAAAGCTAGCATGACTGCTGAAAGGTTGTTTTCCAGCCCAGAAGTAAAATGCAAAAGTACGAGAAAGAACTAGTGTGATAAAGAAATAGGCTGAAGATATATCTGCTGGACGCATGAACTAGGATTGCTACTTTTTTTCCCTTTCTTTCTTCTTCTTTTTTTTTTTTTTTTTTGAGATGGAATTTAGCTCTTGTTGCTCAGGCTGGAGTGCAATGGCACTATCTCAGCTCACTGCAACCTCCATCTCCTCGGTTCAAGCTATTCTCCTGCCTCAGTCTCCCCAGTAGCTGGGATTACAGGCACCTGCCACCATGCCTGGCTAATTTTTTTTTGGTATTTTTTAGTAGAGATCAGGTTTTACCATGTTGGCCAGACTGGTCTCGAACTCCTGACCTCAGGTGAACTGCCCATCTTGGCCTCCCAAAGTGCTGAGATTACAGGCATGAATCACTGCATCCGGCCTCCTCTTCTTCTTCGTTTTTTTTTGCCCATGGGTGCTACTAAAATGGATTGCTACTTTTTCTTATATATTTTCCGTAGTCTTTTTCTAGTTCTAAGCTATATCTCAGTCTCTAAATGTTCGACAAATTAATAGCAAAAAAAAAGGATACTGCAAAAATCCAACTTATTTTTCTTCTCTCACTATTGTTTAGAGTATCAAGAGGATTTTTTTATTTTATATTTTTGTTAGAGACAGAGCCTCTCTATGTTGCCCAGGCTGGAGTACAGTGGCTATTTACAAGCACGATTATAGCTCACTGTAACCTTGAACTCCTGGCCTCAAGCAATCCTCCTGCCTTGGCCTCTCAAAGTGCTGCAATGAAGGTGTGAGTCACTGCACCCAGCCAATGTTTTAAAACTAAGAATGTAATATTTGTGACACACCTATTATACTCTAAAAATGCTTTGCTGTGTATAGTCAAGGAATTCTTGACCTGGAGTCCCAGGATAGTTGATGGAATCACTGAAATTACATAAATGTTTATGGTATCCTTGGCACATAGTGGTGGTATAAAAATTTGTGGAGTGTGGAAATGAATATTTTTAGGAGTGATGACAGAGTTCTCAAAATTCTGAAAGGGCTAGAGATCCCAAGAAGGGAAAACCTTACTGGCCTAGTCAGTTACTCTCTGTCTTGAATTTATGTAGTTTAGTAATCCCACAACCATTCTGCATTTGATTCTATTCATCTGTCCCATTTTCTTCTTATTCATACACTACTATGTCACAAGGGCAATAAGACAAGCATAAAGGAACCATGGATATTTAGAAAAAAGCTTGAAGGCAAGGATTGATAAAGGAGTAGGGATCATCTTTTTCACTGCCATTTAAAACTAACCCTGAATGAGGGCTCTACAAAGCAGAAATGAGTTACTGAGAGTGGTTTGGAAGTCTGTGCTCAGGGGTGTTTAAGAAAAGGCATTTCCATTTGAAGGCAAGACATTGATCATAAGTTGGCAGTACAGAATATTTTCAGTACTCGATTCAGTTTAGCAGCTCTAGGAGTCTTACATACTTTTGGTCAGGGCTTAAAGAATTACTCATTGAAAGATGGTTCAAAGAAAAGAAAACAAGGACTATGAAGGGGCCACAAACAATTTTTAAAATGAAAGGGCTTTCTCCAAAGGGGTGACCATGGGAATCACCAGTGATCTCTTCACCTTTTACTTTTTCCTTACCTTTTCTATTTCATGTTGCAGGATTCCAATTTCATCTTCAAATTGGTTAATTCTCTTATCTCGTAGTTCTACTTCATTAGTTAAACGACACTTGACTTTTTGAAGCTTGATTTTGTGTTGGTGATGTTTCTCATTATAGTTTCTATAAAAGTAAATTTCAGTTTAGACATATCTGAACACAGTTAAAATTTATTTTGCCTCCTCAATATGGACCTTTCTTGGGTTTCTTCTTCTTCCTTAAGTCAGGGGCCTGGCACTAGATGTGGATACTTAGCCTGCCTCACATCTTCTTGCCTTCCATGTCAGGGAGTGGGCCAAGGTTAACTCCCTACATAACAGCAGCTTTAATTACTGCCATGGACTCAAGTATCTGGCTTACCTTGGTCTTTTTTTTTGAGACGAAGTCTTGCCCTGTCACCCAGCCTAGAGTGCAGTGGCACAATCTCAGCTCACTGCAACCTCTGCCCTCTGGATTCAAGCGATTTTCCTGCCTCTGGCTCCCAAGTAGCTGGGACTACAGGTGCCCGCCACCACACCCGGCTAATTTTTGATTTTTTTTTCTTTTTTTGAGATGGAGTCTTGCTCTGTCACCCAGGCTGGAGTGCAGTGGCACCATCTCGGCTCACTGCAACCTCTGCCTCCCAGGTTCAAGCAATCCTCCCACCTCAGCCTCTCAAGTAGCTGTGATTACAGGCATATGCCACCACACCTGGCTGATTTTTGTATTTTTAGTAGATATGGGGTTTCACCACATTGGCCAGGCTAGTCCTGACCTCTGGTGATCCACCTGCCTCAGTCTTCCCAAGTGCTGGAATTACAGATGTGAGCCATCGCACCCAGCCACTTTTTGTATTTTTAGTAGACATGGGGTTTCACCATGTTGGCCAGGCTGGTCCCGAACTCCTGACTTCAGATGATTCACCTGCCTCGGACTCCCAAAGTGCTGTAATTATAGGCATGAGACACTGTGCCAGGCCTACCTTGGTCTTGAACTGATGGTTGTGGTATAACTTTAACAGCTAAAGTTATACCAGAAATTTAGGAAACTCCTTGATTTTTGATCCCTGATATCTAAATTTTGACTCCTGCTTCACTAATTCAGTCATTAACTTAAAATTTCCTCATTCTTGGCTGTATCTTGGACAATGATATACTCACTTCAATCTTATCTAATTTTCCCTATGACTAGGCCTGTTTTCAGTCCTACCATTGAGTCTGGACCTCTTCTTCTTCTTCTTTTTGTTGAGACAGGGTCTCACTGTGTCACCCAGGCTGTGGTGGTACAATCATGGCTCACTACATCCTCGACCTCCTGAGCTCAAGCAATCCTCCCACCTCAGCATCCCAAGTAGTGCACACCACCACACCTGGCTAATTTATTATTTATTTTTTATAAAGATGGTGTCTCGCATGTTGCCCAGACTGGTCTTGAACTCTTTGCTTCAGGCTATCCTCCTGCCTCAGCCTACCAAAGTGCTGGGATTACAGACATGAGCCACCCAGTGAATCTGGACTTCTAAAAGCCAATTCCATATAGGTCACTGTTCAAGACTCTGATTCTTATATACATCTAACTTATGGCCAATAAGCACATGAAAAGATGCTTAACATTACTAGTCATTAAGGAAATGAAGATCAAAAGCACAATGAGATATGGCTTCGCACACACTAGGATGGCTAGAATAAAATGATGGATAATAACAAGTGCTGACAAGGATGGGAAGGATTGTAAAATGCAGGCAGGAATGTAAAACAGTATAGTCTTTTTGGAAAACAGCCTGGCAGTTCCTCAAATGGTTAAACATAGAGTTGTCATTTGACCCAGCAATTCTACTCCCTAGGTATATAATATTCAATATAACTGGGAAAACATATGTCCACACAAAAACTTATACACAAATGTTCATAGCAGCATTATTCATAACAGCCAAAAGATTTAAACAACCTAGATTGCCATCAACAGATGAGTGGATAAACAAATAGGGTATATCTAGCCAGGTGTGGTGGCTCATGTCTGTAATACCAGCACTTTGGGAGGCTGACGTGGGTGGATCACCTGAGGTCAGGAGTTCAAGACCAGCCTGGCCAACATGACGAAATCCTGTCTAAAATGAGCTGGGCATGGTGGCAGGTGCCTGTAATCCCAGCTACTTGGGAGGCTGAGGAAGGAAAATTACTTGAACCCAGGAGGTGGAGGTTGCAGTGAGCTGAGATTTGGCCACTGTACTCCAGCCTGGGCAACAGAGTGAGACTTCATCTCAAAAAACAAACCAACAAACAAACAAGCAAACAAACCAAATAGGGCATATCCATACAATGTGCTATCATTCAGTCATAAAAAGAAAGGAAGTACTGATACATGCTACAACATGAACCTTGAAAGCATTATTCTAACTAAAACAAGCCAGGCACAACAGACCAAATATTTTATGATTCCATTTATATGAAATGTCAGAAACAGGCAAATTTAGAGCGAAAGAAAGTAGATTAGTGATTGCCTGGGTCTGGTAGTGGGAAGGGAATTGGGGATAGAGTGATAGCGAAAAAGTATGAAGTTTCTTTTAGGATGGTAAAGTGTTCTAATGTTGACTGTGGTAACAATAAAAAAATGGACAAAAGCCATTTTTTTAAAAGCCAAGAAAATGGATTAAAGCATCCATACTACCACTAGGCAAACCTCTTGGAGCATGACTGTGATACAAACAAAAAGAATATTGTTCTTTAAAATTATGGAGAAGCTGCTCAGGGGGCTGAGGCAGGAGAATTGCTTAAACCTGGGAGGTGGAGGGTGCAGTGAGCCAAGACCAAGCCACTGTTCTGTACTCTAGCACGGGCGACAATAAAACTCTATCTTGAATAAATAAATAAATAAATAACATAGGCTATACATTGTTCTTTTTTTTTTTTTTTCCCAAACATTCTTGTTCTGTTGCTCAGGCTGAAGTGCACTACATGATCTCAGCTCACTGCAACTTTTGCCTCCTGCCTCCCAGGTTCAAGAAATTCTGGTGCTTTAGTCTCCTGAGTAGCTGGGATTAGAGGTGTTCACAACCACACCTGGCTAATTTTTGTATTTTTAGTAGAGATGTGGTTTTGTCATGTTGGCCAGGCTGGTCTTGAACTCCTGGCCTCAAGTGATCTGCCCGCCTCTGCCTCCCAAAGTGCTGGAACTACAGGTGTAAGCCAACATGCCTGGACAGCTATACATTATTCTTTGTATCACAAATTTCAAGAACAGAAAATAATGAGTGAGGCAGCTAATCAGAAAAGAAATGACTTCAAACAATTCCATTATAGGCCAAATGGACCTAATAGATACAGAACATTTCGTCCAATGGCTGCAGAATACACCTTCTTTTCAGTACTTGTATCATTCTCAAAGATAAACCATCAGGTCACAAAACAAGTATTAAAACACTCAAAAAACTGAAATAATATCAAGCATCTTCTCTGACCACAATGGATTAAAACTAGAAAAAAATAACAAGAGGAATTTTGGAAACTATACAAATACATGGAAATTAAACAACATGCTCCTGAATGACCAGTGGCCCAATGAAAAAATTAAGAAAGAAATTGAAAAATTTCTTGAAATAAATTATAATGGAAACACAACATACCAAAACCTACGGCATATAGCCAAAGCAGTAGCAAGAGAGAAGTTTATAGCTGTAAGTGCCTACAGCAAAAAAAGAAAAACTGCAAATAAACAATCTAATGATGCACCTTAAAGAACTAGAGAAACAAGAGCAAACCAAATCCCAAATTAGCAGAATAAAAGAATTCATAAAGATCAGAGCAGAAATAAATGAAATTGAAATAAAGAAAACAATACAAAAAAATCAATGAAACAAAATGTTGGCTTTTTGAAAAGTTTAACAAAATCAACAAACTTTTAGCAGTAAGAAAAGGAGAAGATCCAAATAAATAAAATCAGAGACAAAAATGAGATATTACAACTAATACCACAGAAATTCAAAGGATCATTAGTGGCTATTATGAGCAACTATATGCCAGTAAATTGGAAAATCTAGAAAAAATGAACAAACTTTGAAACACATACAGCATACCAAAGACTGAACCATGATGAAATCTGAAACCTGAACAGACCAATAACAAATAATGAGATCAAAGCCATACAAAAAGTCTCCCAGTAGAGAAAAGGCCAAGACCCAGTGGCTTCACTGCTGAGTTCTATCAAACATTTAAAGAAATAATACCAATCCTACTCAAACTATTTTGAAAAATAAAGGAGAAGGAAATACTTCCAAACTCATTCTACAAGGCCAGTATTATCCTAATACCACAATCAGACAAAGATACATACAGAAAAACTGCAGGCCAATATCACTGATGAATATTGATACAAAAATCCTCAACAATATAGTAGCAAACTAGCTGCATGTGGTGGGCTCATATCTGTAATTCCAGCACTTTGGAAGGCTGAGGCAGGAGGATAGCTTGACCTCAGGAGTTTTGAGACCAGCTTGGATAACATAGCAAGACTCCGTCTTTACAAAAAATAAAAAATTAGTCAGGCATTATGGTGCATATCTGTGGTCCCAGCTACTCAGAAGGCTGAGATGGGAGGATTGCTTGGGCCTGGGAGGTGGAGGTTGCAGTGAGCCAAGATCACACCACTGCACTCCAGTATGGGTGACAGGGTGAGATCCTGTCTCTAAACAAATGAAAAAGCTAGCAAACTGAATTCGACAATGCCTTGAAAAGATCATCATGACCGAGTGGGATTTATCCCTGGGATGCAAGGATGGTTCAACATACACAAATCAATCAGTATGATACATTATATCAACAGAAGGACAAATGATATGATACATCATATCAACAGGACAAAAACCATATGAATTCAGTTTGCTAGCTTAATTCAGATGCTGGAAAAGCATTTGATAAAATTTAACATCCCTTCTTGAGTTTTATCCCATGATAAAAACTCTCAAGAAACTGGGGATAGAAGAAACATACCTCAATATAATAAAAGCCATGTATGACAGACCTACAGCTTGTATCATACTGAATTTGGGAAAACTGAAAGCCTTTCCTTGAAGATCTAGAACATGACAAGGATGCCCACTTTCACCAGTTATTCAACATAGTACTTAAAGTCCTAGTTCGAGCAATCAGACAAGAGAAAGAAATAAAGAACATCCAAATTGCAAAAGAAGAAGTCAAATTATCCTTGTTTGCAGATGGCAAAATTTTATATTTGGAAAAACCTAAAGACTCCATTAAAGAAGTACTAGAACTCATAAACAAATTCACAAAAGTTGCAGAATACAAAATTGACATACAAAAATCAGTAGCATTTTTATATGCCAACAGGGAACAGTCTGAAAAAGAACTTAAAAAACAATTCCATTTACAATAGCCAGACATAAAATTAAATACCTAGGAATTAGGTTAAATAACAAAGTGAAAGATCTCTATACTGAAAACTATAAAACATTAATGAAAGAATGGAAAGATATTCCATGTTCTTGGAATGAAAGAATCGATATTGTTGAAATGTCTATGTTACTGAAAGCAATTTACAGATTCAATGCAATCCCTACGAAAATATCAATGACATTCTTCACAGAAATAGAAAAAACTATCCTAAAATTTATATGAAACCACAAAGGACCCAGAATAGCCAAAGCTATCCTAAGCAAAAAGAACAAAACTGGAAAAATCACATTACATGGCTTCACATTATACACAGAGCTATGATAACCAAAATGGTATGGTACTAGCATAAAAACAGATGCATAGGCCAATGGAACAGAACAGAGAACACAGAAACAAATCCACACACCTACAGTAAACTAATTTTTGACAAAGGTGCCAAGAACATGCACCAGGGAAAGACAGTCTCTTCAATATATTGTGCTGGGAAAACTGGATATCCATATGCGGAAGAATAAAACTAGATCCTTATCTCTCACTACACACAAAAGTCAAATCAAAATGGATTCAGGACTTAAATCTAAGACCTCAAAGTATGAAACTACTTTAAGAAAACATTAGGGAAATTCTCCAGGATATTGGTCTATGCAAGAATTTCTTGAGTAGTACCCTAGAAGCACAGACAACCAAAGCAAAACTGGACAAATGGAATTATATCAAGTTGAAAAAATCTTCTGCACAGCAAAGGAAACAATCAACAAAGTGAAGTGACAACCCATAGAATGGGGAAATATTTGCAAACTACCCATCTGACAAGGTGTTAATAACCAGAATACATAAGGAACTCAAACAACGCTGTAGGAAAAAATCCAATAATCTGATTTAAAAATGGTCAAAAGATTTGAGTAGACATTTCTCAAAAGAAAACATACAAATGGCAAACAGGCATATGAAAAGGTGCTCAACATCACTGATTATCAGAGAAACGCAAACCAAAACTATAATGGGATGTCATGTCACCCCAGTTTAAATGGCTTTTATCCAAAAGGCAGGCAATGACAAATGCTGATGAGGATGTGGAAAAAAGAAAACCCTCATACACTGTCAATGGTAATGTAAATTAGTACAACCACTATGGAGAACATCTTGGAGGTCCCTCAAAGAACGAAAAATTGAGGCTAGGTATAGTGGCTCATGCCTGTAATCCTAGCACTTTGGGAGGCCAAGGCGGGTGGATCACTTTAGGAGTTCAAGACCAGCCTGGCAAACATGGCAAAACCCCCGTCTCTACTAAAAATACAAAAAAAAAGTCTGAGCATTGTGGCTTACACCTGTAATCCCAGCATTTTGGGAGGCCTAGGCGGGCGGATCATGAAGTCAGGAGTTTGAGACCAGCCTGGCCAATATGGTGAAACCCTGTCTCTACTAAAAATACAAAAATTAACTGGGCATGGTGGCATGTGCTTATAGTCCCAGCTACTTGGGAGGCTGAGGCAAGAGAATCATTTGAACCCAGGAAGCAGAGGTTGCAGTGAGCCAAGATTATCCCACTGCACTCCAGCCTGATGACAGAGCAAGACTCCATCTCAAAAACAAAACAAAACAAAACAAAAGTCAGTTGTAGTGGTGCACACCTGTAATCTCAGCTACTCAGAAGACCGAGGCAGAAGAATTGCATGAACCTAGGAGGCAGAGGTTGCAATGAGCCAAGATCATGTGAGACTGTTTCAAAACAAAAACAATAAAACCTAAAAATTGAGCTATCATACATTTGAGCAATCCCACTGCTGAGTATATAACCAAAAGAGAGGAAGTCAGTATATTGAAGAGATATCTGCACTCCCATGTTTGTTGCAACACTGTTTACAATAGCCAATATTTGGAAACAACCTAAATGTCCATCAAGAGATGAATGGATAAAGAAAATATGGCTTGGGGAGCGCCACGTGGCGTTAGTGTGGGCTGCTTTTGGCATGGCGGTGTTTTCTGGTCCGGCTGCGCCAGTCTTGTCGCTTAAGATGTCGAGTTTCAAAAGGAGGTGGTGCAGGTTCGCAAGCACGTAACCCAGGGAAAAAAACAAGGACAACTTACTCCTGGAGTCGTCTGTGTGCGCCACCTGCCTAACCCACTTGAGGAAACCCAGATCTTTTCCTATTTCTCCCAGTTTGGCACTGTGACACGGTTCAGACTGTCCAGAAGTAAAAGGACTGGGAACAGCAAAGGCTATGCATTTGTGGAGTTTGAGTGTAAGGATGTTGCCAAGATAGTTGCTGAAACAATGAACAACTACCTGTTTGGTGAAAGACTCTTGGAGTGTCGTCTTATGCCACCTAAGAAAGTCCATAAAGAACTCTTTAAAGACTGGAATGTTCCATTGAAGCCGCCGTCATATCCATCAGTGAAACGATTTTACAGAAAACGGAAAAGTATTTCAAAAACTAATTGTCAGAAGTCTACAAAAGGCCAGGTTTTACGTAAGAAGAAGAAAAAGGTTGTAGGCACTCTTGACACTCCTGAGAAGACTGTGGAGAGCCAGGGCCCCACACCAGTTTGTACACCAACATTTTGGAGAGATGAAAATCTGAAGTGACTGAAATGAATGAAGATGATAAAGATAATGAACCAGTTTTCAGACAGCCTGTATCCTGTGTAAAAGAAGAAATACAGAAGACTCAAACACCTACACATTCACGGAAGAAAAGACGAAGGAAAAGCAATCAGTCATTTTTAATATATTGTATTTTCTGAGAAATACAATATTTTTATGGGGGTGGACTTTGTATTTTACTAGGTACAGTGAAATGCAACCTGTGACAAGATTGTCAGAGGAAAAATACACTGTTTGGTCCAGTTAAGGAAAGCAGTCTGTAATTTTAGATTGCCTGCCCTTGGCTGAAATACAAGGGTGCAGACCGGTTTGCAGTGGCTTGGCTGACATTGCCTCTTTGTCCTGTTCTCTATTTTTCTTTTGACATTTCCTAGCTCTCCTTAGTTACTCTGCCTGGATAGAAAGGTGACCACTAAGTGCAGGCTTAAGTACAAAACTGCAGCCTTTTCTGTCACCACCAGTTAAGGACCACCAATTTTGTTTGTCTGTCTGCATGATTTGTCAGGGACATTAACTCATGAGGGTGCTTTAGATTTCAACATCAGATGGTTGAAGCTGGAAGTTAAATTATATGCAGAGTGAGAAGGCAGTTCCAGTGTTAGCACAGATTTATGTATTCAGATTTTAATAGAGATTAAAAAATGACTCATTTTTATGAATAATTTTAAATTAGTTTTCATTGGGCTAGCATGGATTAATAACCACCATTTTATACTAGTATCATCAGTGAGGAATTGCATTTCAAGATTCAAACAATAACTAGCAAATAAACTTTTTTCTACAAAAAAAAAAAAAGAAAATATGGCTTTATACACAATGGAATACTATTTAGTCATAAAAAAGAATGAGATCCTGTCATTTGCAACAACATGGATGGACTGGAGGTCATTATGCTAAGTGAAATAAGCCATGCACAGAAAGACAAACATCATATATTCTCACTTATTTGTGGGATCTAAAAACCAAAACAATTCAACTCATGGAGATAGAGAGTACAAGGTTGGTTATTAGAGAATGAGAAGGGTAGTGGGGGAATGGGGGGAGGTGGGGATGGTTAATGTGTATAATTACATACAAAACCAGTTCTTTATAAGAAATAATTAAAGAGGCTGGGTGTGGTGGCTCACACCTGTAATCCCAGCACTTTGGGTGACTAAGGTAGGTGGATCACCTGAGGTCAGGAGTTTGGGACCAGCCTGGCCAACATGGTGAAACACCCTCTCTACTAAAAATACAAAAATTAGCCAGGCATGGCGGTGGGCATCTGTAATCCCAGCTACTCAGGGGGCTGAGGCACGAGAATCCCTTGAACCCAGGAGGCAAAGTTTGCAGTGAGCCAAGATCGCGCCACTGCACTCCAGTCTGGGTGACAGAGTGAGATTTTGTCTCAAAAAAAAAAAGTTAAGAACGAATAAGACTATAGTCAATAATAATTGTACTTTTTTTTCTTTTTTTAAAATTGTACATTTAAAAATAACTAAAGAAATAGGCCAGTTCCAGTGACTCACGCCTGTAATCCCAGCACTTTGGGAGGCTAAGGCAGGAGAACTGGTTGAGCACATAGGTTCGAAACCAGCCTGGGCAACATAGTAAGACCTTGATTCTACAAAAATAAACAAAATTAGCCAGGTGTGGTGGCACAAACCTGTAGTCCCAGCTACTTTGGAGGCTGAAGTGGGAGGATCACTGGAGCCCAGGAAGTCAAAGCTACAGTGAGCTGAGACTGTTCCACTGTACTCCCAGCCTGGGCAACAAAGCAAGACGAGAGAGAAAGGAAAGGAAAGGAAACGGGAAAGGGGAAAGGGGAAGAAAGAAAGGAAGGAAGAAAAAGAAAGAAAGGGAAAAGAAAAGAGAGAAAAGCCAAATGAGTATAATCATATTCTTTGTAACACAAATGCCTGAGGGGATAAGTACCCCATTCTCCATGATGTGATTATTACGCATTGCATTCCTGTATCAAAACATCTCATGTACTGCATAAATATACATACCTACTATGTACCTATACAAATTAAAACTAAAATTTTGCTTATAAACCCACTTGTAACTGCTGCTAATCAGATTGTATATTCAGGGCAACTTGAATGTATGCTCCTGAGTTGCAATCTCTAAGCTTGGATCAAATAAACGCTCTACTTATATTAATTTTGCCTCAGCTTATTCCCTTTAGGTTGACAATGCCTACCTCATGAAGCTTTCAAAAAAGCCCAAAAGAACTGGGTTTGGAAGACTTCCAAATAGCTGAACACAGGTTCCTGGAGGGTGGTGCACCCAGAGAGGGCATAGAGCCTCCAAGCCCCTTCATGGAAAGGGATGCTGTGCTCTTTGCATCTCTTCCACCTGGCTGTTCATCTGTGTCATTTGTATTATCCTTTGTAATAGATGGGTAATATAAGCAAGTGTCTTTCCTTGAGATCTGTGAGCTGTGTGTCTTTTTCCTTAGCTGATATTAACCTGTATCCTTTCACTGTAATAAGCCATAACCATAGCTGTTTTTCTGAGTTTTGCACTTCATTCTAAGGAGTCATGAAACCTGAGGGGAGTCTTGGCAATTCCTGACAGACAAGTTAGTTTTTTTTTTTTTGGCCCCTCATATTGTGCCACCTGCTTTGAATAACTGTGCTCTGCTCAATCTATTTGAGATCCTGAGCCACAGTTGTCTGTAGGTATTTCCCTGCACTCGTTTGAACTTCCCTGCAGGCAGCTCTTCTTCAAGTATTGTAGTTCAAGTTTACATGTGTTTCCTAGTTTTATAAAAAGTTGTTTTTTAAATTTTCATTTTAGGTGTGGGGGGTACATGTGAAGCATCGTTACGCAGGTCAAAGTGTGTCACAGGGGTTTGTTGCACGTATTATTTCATCACTCAGGTGCTGAGCCTATACCCAACGGTTACTTTCTGCTCCTCATTCTCTTCCCCTACTCCTCAAGGAGACCTCAGTATCTGTTGTTTCCTTCTTTGTGTTCAAAACCTCTTATCATTTAGCTCAAGAAAAGTTATTTAAAAGAAGTTATACTAAAGAGAAGAATCTGACCCCAGAGCCTATGATCTTCCCATCATACCCTACTGCTATAATACTAGCAAAGGCAGGCAAACAGATATCCCCGATTTCTCCTGAGATACATTTCATTTTGTACAAGAACTAGCAACCAGATGGGATTGGAAGAAAAAAGCAGACTTCTCTAGATACTAATTTTAGTTAAACTGGTATGGAAGAACTACTCCAAGGGAATCTTCTGTCCTTGTAAGTTGAAGGAAATGAAAATATTTCACTCCAAAGTATATTTCCTTGATATATTTCAAGATACCTATTCAGAATAGCTGGATATACAAAAATAGTTGAAAATCTGTCTTTTGTGGGAGTAATGGGAAGTGGGGAGGGATATGGAGAATACCTGCAGCCAGGCTTTCTCTGAGTGCCTTCCTTCCCTTGTCTAGATCTAAGAAAGATTAACCGAGAGTCTGAAACCTCTAAAGATGTGAAAGCAAGATTGACCATCTATTCTCCCTGAGGGCTGCTATAATATCTGTGAGGTTTCAGCTACATAAAAAGACCACCTTTGCTAGGGTGGCCTCCTTCTCTCCCCTTCCCATAACCTGTTTTGCAATTATCTAAGCCCCCATTCTTTCTGTAATCTCAATATGGTGTATAACCTTCCATACCCCATTGGAGACTGGGGTAATCATTCTGTGGTTCTCCCCCATGCAGATTAATAGACCTGCATACTATTTCTCCTATTTATCTGCCTTTTGTCAGTTGATTTTTTCAGTGAATCTTCAGAGGGTAAAGGAGAACTTTTCACTTGGCCCCTGCAAAGTTATGTCTTACTCTGAAATGCATTTTTGCAAGACTTCTCCATTTTCCAAAATAGTCCACCTCTTTCTCCTACTTGCTAAGGGTACATAAAAGAGTCATTTTGCATGTTTTCCTTGAAGAGATTAATTTAGCTGTTAGTCAGATACCAAACTGAGCAGTTTGGCTTCCTGCAGGCCAGAGGCAAGTATACAAAGCTAGATATAGCTTGCTTGTCAGTGTATGTGGCAGTGACTGACTGCTGGGGTTGTACCCAATCCAATTTCTCCTTCTTCTACATTATAGACCCCGATTTTTTTGCTGGGCACTGGTTTACTCAGCATAGGAACTCTATTTTTTGGCTTTCCTTGCAGTTAGATGAGGCCATATAAGTAAGTTCTGGCCAACAGAGTATGAATGGAAGTAGTGTGCCTTAAAGGAAAATGGAATGCCCTTGCCTTCCCCTCTTTCTTTCTTACTGGTTTGAAATGTGGATATGGTAGTGAATTATTTTGAACTATGTGGATAAGGGCAACATGTTAAAGATGTTGAAGCAATAACAAGATAGAGGGAGCCTAGGTACTTGACACATTGATCCACCATCAGCACCTGCTACATAATATGAGGCACATACTTTTGCAGACTGTGTTCACAATTACCATAGCTGGGACTTAGATTCTTTACAAGGAGGTATTCTTTACAAAAATGCACACTTCATAAACATTCTCATTCTCTTTTTTACTAGGAATATTTGTTAAAATATATAAGTGGTTTTCAGCATCCTCCAGTCTAAAATTTCGGAGACGTAAGATCTAGCAGTGTACCTGCCATGCTCTGGCTTTCCCAGCTGTTCACAGTTGCTCTGATGTTTTGACATCATTTATAACACAACATGTACTTCTGAAACTGTTTTTGCAAAAATTATAACTGAGGAAATTATGATAGTGAAAGAGACCTGACCTAACCAATTCTGTCTTGCTTCTAACCTCCAATCTGTCCTTGTTCATTCCTAGGCGTAGGTCCAGCTAACTTTGGGAGAAACTGAGTTTATAGTTTAACTTTGAAACAAACTTGTTAACAGCTCTTTTCCAAAATAAACCCCCTTCTAGCCTGGGGACTAGACTGCCTTTGCCAGACTAACAAATTAGCCACAAGATTAGAAATTATGGTTTAAGAGTCAGTGTTGTAAACATGAGATCAGGGCTTGAGATATTTTGCAGACCCTGTGTTAAGGTGCACCAGCAGATGCCACCTAGATTGATAAACTAGCTCATGTGGTCTTGTGGCTCCTTCCCAGGAACTGACTCAGTGCAAGAGGACGGCTTCAACTCTCTGTGATTTAATCTTTGATCTGCTCAATCAACACTCCCCACTTCTAATCCCCTACCCACCAAATTATCCTTAAAAACACCAATCATCAGATTTTCGGGGAGATGGATTTAAGTAATAATACTCGGGTCTCCCATACAGCTGACTCTGTATGAATTAACCTCTTTCTGTCTTGCAATTTCCCTGTCTTGATAAATCAGCTCTGTCTAGGCAGTGGGCAAATAGAACCCATTGGGTGTTACACTTCTGGAATTTCTTTCACTCCTCCTGTACTGGAATATTAAAACCCAAGTCTCTAACTTCCCACGCCAGACAGCTGCTCTCTTACCCTGCCATTTGGGTTATTAAAAAAAAATAAATTTCTTCCTTAAAAAAATTTTTTTTTTGGTAGATCTGAGATCTCACTATGTTCCCTAGGCTGGTCTCGAACTCCTGGATTCAAGTGATCCTCCTGCCTTGACCTCTGAAAGTGCTAGGGTTACAGATGTGAGCCACCATGCCCAGCCAGTTTATTCTTTAAAAGAATTAATTACAGAAAATTTGGGAAAATCTCCAACTCCCAATATGATGAGTACTATGATATTGTATTTCATTCTAATCCTTTTATAAGCATCTTTTGTTTAAACATTGTGTACATCAAAATGTTTATCATATGCTCTTTTCA